AATGCGCTTCTGGAAGAATGGTCAAACATTCCCATAGACACACTCCTATACCTTGTGGACGCCTTCCCAGAAGAGTTGAAGCTGTTATAGGCTACAAAGGGCGGGCCAACTCGATACTGAACCCTACGGACTAAGACTGGGATGCCATTAAAGTTCATGTGCGTGTAAAGGCAGGCGTCCCAATGCTTTTGGCAATATAGTGTATATACAGTAAATACCATGAAATCCTGTAATATATTATAAACCATAAAAGCTTCAAACTAGTGATTCAAATATGTCAATCACTGGATACGTTTGTACAATCCTGCAAAATACATTAGTATTGAACACATTTCTTTCATGGCCATATGGAGAAAATATTTATGTAGTATGAACAACCAGTTCCATAAGATACATTTCCTTGTTATAGCATTCCAATGTTTCCTTCATAATAAATCGTATAACAGTCGTTATGTTCTCTGGACATCATAGCATTCTCTGATGTAAATGTAAGATAACAATTCATATTTCATCCAACTCAAAATGGTTCATATGATGACCAATGCATGTATTGTTGGATCTTCATAGATCCAGATAAAAGGACCACGGAGAACATACGGTCCTTTCAATTGCAGCCAGAATGGTTGCTACAAAAAAATCTTTCCTATGTCTTGTAACAAACTAATGCTCAATAGTTACAATTGTATCCATATCTTTACACCATAGCCAAAGAACTAAATTCATATAGTAAACTGAACATTCTCATTAAGCTGATTTCAAATACATAGCACAACAGGATCCGGGGGCTAAGTAGTAATCCAGGTATCCAAATGGAAGTGTCCCAAAGAAGCTCATGTGGTATTGGGAAAATCATTTTTTTCCCCTTGTAGGCTGCAGACGGACCGACAGCAGCCACAGCTGTCAGTCCTCCGGTTGGGGGCGGTCATCTGTCTCTAACTGGAGGTAATCGCTCCATGTGCAAATACCTTCGAAGACGGTCAGACAGGTGCATCTGCTGACAGCCTGTCATTGCTTTGTACAGGCTAAGCAGCCACAGCTGTCTGCAACCACCTGTGATTCTTGCTGCAGGAATTAATCTTTGGAATTAAATGACATGTGGAAATGAGGCCCCGCTTTACAAATGTTTAAGAAAAGCCTGGCCTAGCCATTCTCAAACGTATATACAGATGGGATGAGCTCACCTCCTGTCAAGAATGCCTGGGTCTCCTTTTCCCCTTCAGAATCCTATCTGCTGGCAATAGTCTCTATTTGCCATGCTGATCTATGTTAAAAGCTTTTGAGCCTACTGTATGTAACGAGCTGCAGCAGAGGTGTCTGCCCACGGAGGTGACCATAGGCTCTTGTTTTTTTCTGATCCTTTTACTACCATTTGTTTACTGTGTGCCTGTCTACTGTCTCCGTATACGGTGGCTGCGCCCACTGCCAAGATGTTGGTTGTGAGCTCATCTTTGGGATTAACTACCTCTGTTTGATTACGATATTCGTTCTTAAATAAAGAATGTATTAAAAAAAAAGTATATACAGTAAACTCTCTCTTAACTGGTATTCACCTAACCAGGATCAAAAAAATTCCCTGTGAACTCACTGTTCTGCCACCTTCTAAGAGAGGGAGAGCAGGCTCTGGAGCATGGAAAGGTGTGCTGCCACAATAGTTGTATAAAAATATGACAATTCATAGTCATGAGAATTTACATTTTTTTTCCTTAAACCATATATTGTGAGCAGTATTATAGCTGATTTATGTGCTGCCATCTTGTGGTCATTCTGATATTGCATGTTTTTTTGTGTACCCTCCAAGCTATGATGTATTTCCCCTTTGTGTGTAATGTACCGCCCTTCTTCTCCAGTAGTCCTTTTAGTGTCATGGCTGACAGGACCGCATGCACATGCTATACTGGAAACATTATCATCCTTGACTAAATGACATATATTCATTCATCTGCTGTATCCGGTTGCTGTAACCTGCTGCACGAAATAAAGCACCTTGTGAATGAAAGGTATTTGTTGAGTTCAGCTATCTGATAAGGATTTTCCGCAGTGATTATATCTGCTTATACAGGCCAGGCATAGAGGTCTGGGGTCTGGGATAAATCGCTAATGCAACAATCGGAGTCAGAATAAAGGTACAGGAATGGGCCAAAAAGTGCTGGATTATCCTGGGAATGAGTGTCTGAACAATCTTGGAAACGGGTGTCTGATCGATCGTTTGTGAAAGTGCTGTGTATTGCTGTGAACAAGCGCCACCCAGTGATCACTCCCAGTACTGCAATGTATTGCTAATGGTTTAGAGTACATTATACTGTTATGGTATGGTGTAGTATGTGGTATAGCATTAGTTAAACCTGTTTTTAATAGTAACTCTCAAGCAACCAGAAACTAAATTGATCCAGAATCTACCAATCCCCGTGGATGCCGGAAAATGGGGAATTTACTGTTTAAGATAAGTGGGGAAGGGCTATACTGCCATGGATAGACACCTGGAAAGGAAAGTTATAGAAAGGTAAGTATAAAAATGTACCAGTGTTTTCACGGTAGCATGGTAAAATAACTAGAAACACAGATGGGTAACAGCAATTACTTTTAATGTGTAGACATAGAAGATTTCACGTTTTGTCCAAATATCCAACTTATGTGGAATTGAAGACTCTGCTTTTGAAGATCGGCAGGGCCCACTCTTGATTGCAATGGTAGCAAGAAGGGACCTTTGGACTGAAGAAAGACCCTATCAGAGAAGGGTCAACTTTTCCATTGTGATTGATAGCACAACTATTCTTCCCTCCCCATGCCAAGGTGCTAGGTGTAATCCTGACCTCACCTTTCTTCCACACATCCAATCACAAACCATATCCTGCTGCTTCCACCTTCGTAACATCTCCAAAATATGCCCTGTCCTCACCAATGAAACCTCAAAGCTACTCATCCACTCACTTTTTATCTCTTGACTTGACTATTGCAACTCCCTCCTCATTGGCTTACCACTACACAGACAATCCCCCCATCAGTCTATCATGAATGCAGCTGCTAGACTCATTCACCTAACCAACCGCCCTCTGCCAATCCCTGCACTGGCTTCCAATCACCTAAAAATGACAATTAAAAATATTAACAACCACTTACAAAGCAATTCACAACTCCGCCCCCAGCTGTATTTCCAACTTCATCTCAAAGTATCACCTAAATGTCCTCGCTGATCCTCCCAAGACCTACTGCTCCCGAGCTTCCTTGTCAACTCCTGCCACACTTGCCTACAGGACTTCTCTATAGTCTCTCCTATACTCTGGAACTCCCTACCCCAACCTGTCCAGCTATCTCTTACTGCGTCTACTTTTAGGAGACCCCTGAAAAAAATCTCTTCACAGAAGCCTATCCCATCTCTACCAAACTGCTGAACTATCACTTTCTCAAACACTCATTCCTACACAGCAACCACCTTTTGTATCACTTGCCCCTCCATTATAGATTGAAAGCTCTCAGGGGCAGGGCCCTCCTAACCATCTTGTTTTGAATTGTATTGTAACTTTAATGTCTTCCTTATATTGTAAAGTGCTATGCAAACTGTTGGCGCTATATAAATCCTGTATAATAATAACTGCCAAAAAGCCTTTATCTCAGAGACCTTTCGAGCCAAAGTTCTCACCAGTAGGAAGATGGTTATGTCAAATAATGAGCATTGTTCTGTCAAAATGAAAGATCCAGGACTTCCAGGACTAAAGACAAATCCGATTGGGGATATAAATTCTTTCTTGGAGGCCTTAATCTCAAGCAGATCATAAAACAGAATCTCTCTATTAAGGGATGAACCAGCCATCTTACATTTGTGAGAGCTGACAAAGTGGAGACATGATCTTTCATGGTATTCAACCCCAGTCCTAGGTCCCTACCCACGTTTCAGAACTCCAGGCTATTGGGTCTAATATCTCAAAGCAATGAATTCTGAAAAAGTCTACACACTTTTCCCATACTTTGTAATAAGTGGCATTAGTAGTCTTTTTCTGGATTCCAGAAGGGTACTGACTGAACATCCTAAATCTTGCAATCTTCCAAACCCTTAAATCCAGAGTCTCCAGGCTTGGATGTTGAACTTGACTCTGGAACCAAAACAGGGAAATTATTGGGAGTTTCATTATAAGGCTTAGGTAAGTTAAAGAATAACTACACACTTTTCCCACACACAATAGTTGTCCTTTAACCATTTGAGTGCCCAGTTCCGTTTTAAAGAGCGGCAGGGACAGCAGCTATTCGTCCCAGTGCCATGACTTTGTTTTACAAATAAACACAGAGTAAGCCTATAACAAAGGTTTTGCAGCACGGTATGGGTTTCCTAACGAATGAGCACAACAGAAGCTTCTTTCAGACTGCCTCTCTCTGATTAAAAATCTGAAAAAGCAATACTGGTAAGGTGGGGAGGTGGAGAAGTCCTCCTTTGAACCATTTATCTCTGTGTGTAATTTGGGCCTCATTTATCAGGTTCTGTAAACAATCGTTTATTAGCAAAGCAGTTAAGAGTAGTTTGGTAAACAAATAAAAAGAAGCCTAAAGCTCCACCTGCTGTCTGGAAATCATAATGATTAATTATGCATATGCAATATTTGGATACAAAGACTATACACTGTCTTTAAAGAAAACAAGAAAGTGGTATCCAAGGAGGGGGGTAATTTTGCATACAACCAAAAGGAATATATAAATCTGTAATTTCATTGACATGGCTACTGATAAGTGTGTACAAACTAATAATTAACATAATACACATTTTAGAAATACTCCTAAAATATGTATAATATATATATATTATGCAATTGTTGTTGGCCCACCTCGCAATTTAGGTTAGCAAGCCTTTTTTGTCAACAGTTAATCTTTAAAATTAGAATGCCTCAAACTAATTCTGTTAATCTAATATGCATGAGAAATATTCTTACTTTGGTGGAAAGTTTAAAGTTAAAGATCAAAGTCTGAGGACATCACTGTTAAATATTGATAGGAATGTGCTTACTCTGCACAATCCCATTTCTCCAACTCCTTTAATAAGGATTAGCAGACATACTGTAAGCATTACCTTCGGAAACCCTGTGAGTAACTACTTGCTGATTGTTTTATAACCTGAAGGAAGTGTTTCATTTTGACGTGCTTTAGCATATTATAATAGTGGTCCAATTATCTTTCATGGTGAAATGTTTGGGTTGGCCACATGCTGTCTGAACCTGTGTGATATGACAGCTACAAATCTGATAAATCTGGTTGCTGTGGAACAGTGCAGGAAGTTTATACAATGGTAATATTCATTTAGGGTCTGTTTGAGTATTGCTAGATTAGTCACATTGTTCTGACACATTAGATTGTGTACAGTATAAATTGTAGATAAGTTAATCATAATGTGCAAACTGATGTGAGGATAAAATTATAAAATATTGCATTTTTTCTTTTTAAATCTGAGATTAATGCTATTATTTACCTTAGCATGCCGAACAAAAAAGTCAAAAATAAACAGTCTGATTCACTGAAACAGTACAGGATGCCACCCACCCACTGGATCTCACTCGGTACACTAGCCCGCATGATAAATCTGAACGTTTAGCATGCAGGCTAGAGTGAAATCAGAATTTTAAAAAGCCATCACTGACCTCTTTAGTGGCTTCTACTGTGAAGTTATTCTTCTGTGTTGTCACTTGTTCTCCTGTGTTGTCACTTGGACTTCTGATAAAGAAATAGCCATTACAGCACACATTATGCAGGCATGGTCCAGTGCTGTCACCATCAGGAAGCAAACCTTGCAGCCATTGATGGGATCCACGTAGACAGAAAGTGGCTGGATGGAATGCTGCAGGAGATCAGCAGCACTGAGATTTAAAAAAGGATGAAAATGGGGAAAGCTAGTATTTTATTAAAGAATATGTGAATTGGAAATGATTGGAATTTATTTGGAAGTGCTTTGGCAAACTTGGTGTCATTCAGCTTTTTAGGGTTTACATTTACTTTAACTGTTTTATAGGAAATGGACAATGTGGATCTGAGCGACCCACCAGCTGGCCTGGAAAATGAGTTCCATACACTTCTGACATTTGATGCAGTGCAGTTTCTGGCTGAACTTACTGCAGCTTTTAATAATGATGTTGATAGGGTGAGTATTTTTACTGAGTGAACTAACTTATCTAACAAAACTCTTAAAGTGACATTAAAGGATACATTTTCCCCCCTCCCCCCATGTTAATGTCAGCACTTACCTCTTAATCCGATCTTCTTTCCTGATGTTTTCATCTGTCCCTCCCTTTTTTTTTTTTTTACTTTTTGCCTATATCTAGCAGTAGATATAGGCAAAAAAACCGGAGGGTTTAGAACCACTTTAAATGTATTTTATCCAAATATAACATAAAGTAGCATAATTTTTCAGTGGTTTTCACACATTTATACTACTGCCCTTACCACCTTCCTGAATGAGCAGTAATACCAGTACCTGAATAATAGGGGCTAATTGACACTAGACATGTGCACCGGCAAAAAATGTGTTAAATTTCATTTCGTTTTCATTCTGTTTTTTTAGTTTTTCGGGATTCAGGTACGAAAGTCAATTTGCATCGGGATTTGGATTCGGAGGAAATTCGTTATCGGTAGCCTGTGCGAATTTTCGTCCCTGACGAATTTTCATTGCAGCAAAGGGACATCAGACAAAAGGAAAAAAATATATATTTTTTTCTTTTGTCTAATGTCACTTTTGCTGCTACTAAACCTCGTCTAGAATGAAAATTCGTACAGGCTACCGCTAACGAATTTTGTCCAAAATTGAAGTTATCGGAAATTTGGATTTGTTTGCATTCATCATTTCTGTCATTCGGAGATTCAGATATATCCGAATCTCCGAATAACCAAAATTCGTCCAAATAGCGAATCTTTCCAAAACAAATCGCACCTTTCCAGCGCGGTGCCTCATGGTAACACACTCCACGCTTCATTTTGATTGCCACCCCAACACACTAAGGCAAAGCAGCTTCAATGCACACCACAAAACATGGTAATGCATTTTTGTTTAATACGTTGGTAAAAATGGTGCATGCTTCTTCTTTTTTTTTTTTTTTTTTTTTGTGTGTTGCCAGCCCATTTGTTCAAATGGGCTGCATTAATATGATGCACATTCATGCGTAATAAAACACATGTTAATGCACGTGAATTAATGCAAAGCACCAGGAAGCCAAGGTCTAAATGGACCCTTCAGGTAAAGTAGTCTCAGCAAGATGACCAATCAGCTTACATGTAGACTGATGTACTTACTTCATTGCTACTTATTTTATTTTTTTTATTCTATCATTGGATGTCTTTCAAATGTGCAGTATACCCTGCTGAGATTATGTAGATATCTTTTTACTTTACTAGAAATACACTGCTCGTTTTAAACTTGCGGACCATTCACATCAGCAGTGTTGGGCTGCTCTGTCCAACACAATCCCAACACAAGAACTACGACTATTTGCTTTATGCTTTACTGCTGCAATCCTGCAAACAAGCAGGACTTGTTGCACTTTTGTGCCGCACCTTACGGCGCCCTGTGACACATCGTAAGGCATTGAAGTTGGGGTGAATGGACCTTTCTTGCTACGCCACTGGGAATGACAAGACAATTTGTTCACTTAACCCCCTCTTTTTTCTTCTGTTTCTTTTCCTCCATTTCTTTTCTTCTTTTCATGTTTTTTCTCTCTACTCGTGTTGTTACGAATAGATCTTGTTAATATGTAACTATGCTGTTAATACAGTGTAAAAATTGGACTTACGCTCACTTTATTGGATCACTGCAGCAACATTTTCTGGTTTAGATTGAGAATTGGACCCTTTAAATTTTCTTTGTGATAAGTTCATAAGTCTGAACCAAACCACTTTCTATAAATGTCTTGAAAGATGCAGTAAACATTTTAACAAGAAAGAAAAATTGCTTGTGATTACATCAAAAAAGTTAACCTGTGGTAAAAATGAATCAAGAACTATAGTAGATAGGTAACAGCATAAGCTGTCAGTTCATAGAATTTGTCTCATGATGAGTACTTTAGCCCAGACCCAACCACCACCCTTCTCTTTACCTCCAAAGTGCCTCTTATTTTTCATGGTTAATAATAGGCACACACAAGGCAAAGTTTGGTGCCTAAGTTCCCTACCAGCAGGTTTGGGCAGAGGAATAATATTCAAGATTTGAAATTGCTCATCAGTTATTAAACCATCCTCTCCGATCCCATTCTTGTTCCTGGACAGCTCACACAGAATACATTTTTTTCACAGCTATATTATTTTTGTGTCCAAAGTTTCCTTTATCTGTTTATTAGGAACGTCCAACCTAGTTATGTTTATGTGTTAGTATTATGACTCATTTACAGATTTTGTGGCATCGAGCAGCACGGAAAGTTGAGCTTGACATGAAAAACAGTTATCCAGACTTCTCTCTGGAGAACTCTCACATTCGAGATGACCCAAACTGGAGGGTAGCAGCTGTTCCCCAAAGACTACAGAATAGACATGTAGATATTGGAGATACAGCACCTTGTCACACTGAACGTTTTCACCGAGCCCTCCTGTCGTCTGCCCAAGGAATTCAGGTACAGTTTAAACTAGTGGACGGTGTGCTGAAAATCTGTTTCATATTTTATCCAATCCCCTGTTTACCTGTATCTCATCAAAGGTTGTTATGAATGGGGTGAAGGGTTCTTAATTGTTGCATATTTCAAGATTGCTGATAAACACAGCAGCGGTAATGAAGGCTGGTGGGTGGCAGAGAAAAGTCCCAATACTCTCTGTGGTTCATGGTAACATCTAGAGGTGCACCGAAATGGAAATTTTTAAACCGAAACGAAACCGAAATAAAAAAATAATTTCAGGCCGAAACCGGAAATGTTTTTTATTATTATTTTTTCGAATATTTTATTTTAATTTATTTTTTATAAACTTTTACATTTTTTTATATTTATTTATTTTTATTCATTTTTTATGAAATATTTTTATTTTTTACTTTACT